CTGATCTCTCCAGTGAACGCCCCCTTCGCTACTTTGTATGCGTTCTGTGCGGACACACCTACTTTCGATGGCAGGACCCGTCTCACTTCAGACAAGTAGATACTCGGAACCGCTACCACCACCTCTGCATCACAAATATGGCCATCAATGCATTGGATTAGATTGGATTAGATTGGATTAGATGGGAGTGGGAGGGGTGGACAGACATACCGGTGTTATCATCGAGAGGTCCCGTCACGAGTGTCTGAATGATCTCCTGATTCACACCTTTACTGCCATTCATTTTCCAATTGCCTCCCACGAAGAACTTGCGCACCATTGTTGAGATAATTGCCACCAAATGGGTTCAACTGCTTTCAAAGTAAGTGTGGTGTGGTCTCAATGCACACAAAGTGATGATCTGATTGTCTGTGAGTTGGTCTCAAAGTGTTTGAGGATTTTTCCACAAAATAATCTTCACTTCAATCACTCGTTTGTATTGACATTCAATTTCGTCAGTCTTTTGGTGCACTTTTAAAGTCCATTTCAATGATACACACATTCAGTACCTTTTGGTGTTTGTATTAACGTTGAGATTAGATAAGGAATTGATGTAAAATGGGACTAAATATATATGTGATTGTGTAAAGCACTGATGGCATTGAAAGCGATTGAAGTGTTATCTCGTATTCATTCGTTTGACTAACAATTCATTGAATTCTTTATAACTTCAGAGATTGTTGTATACTTTTATATTAAAAATTAATTCTTTTTTTAATTAAAATAAGTCTAAAATATAATTACAATCAAGTTAATATTTTAAACTTTTATAATAAACAAATTCCCATTAAAATGTGTATCATAATCGGGCAAACCTTCTGTTTAACCCTCTATTCTACAGTGGGGTTCTTCCAGAATATTCTGGATTCCTTAACAACAATCGCTGCATTGATAGTGATAATGATATTTAAAAGCAATTTATTTAACTGACTATTGTTTGTAATTGTAAATATGATGTTATTAATAAATTGACATGATAGATCTTATAAATTACAAAGTAAGCTGTTATGAATGATCACATTCACAGTATATTGAGTATAGTCTAATAAAATGAAATTCAGAATAGTTTATAAGAGAAACGTTTCTTTGGTTTCAGTGGTTTTCAAATCAAGTTTAACTATATGATTACAATCAGTATTGACAGATAAACTGTACTGTAGTATAAATTAGTTTAGGACTAGTTTTTACAAAATTTTATTCAAGTTTTAAATTCTGATTCAAAACTTGCGATACTGTAACAAATCCTCATAAAATCTGATAAAAACTACATTCCCTTATCATTTATACTTGTAATCAAGGCTAATATTCATTTATTCTCAAATCTCTATACTTTATATGAAAAGAATATATATTTTGTAGCATTAAATAGATATTAAATTCAAATGAATGCACAACTCATGTATTAAAATTTGTTTAAATGATTAAAGGCACGAAATATTTGTATTTCTCTCATATTTTAAAACGATTTTAAATTCATTTAAATTATTCAAAGTATATCCAAATGGCCGAAACAAAGGGCGAAAAAAATTTACTGAAAGTCTTTGGCATGAAAGACATCAACCGGTTTATAGTGCGCGAGTTGGACACCGAAGATGCCAAACGGTTCCAACAGATGAACAAAATGCTGCAAAAGACTTATAACGCCAAACACGTGGCGGGAAAGGGAGTCTTCAAAGAGGGCTCATTTGTGGCCGCACTCGGCTGTCCTGATGGTGAACCTAAACAATGGCTCAGAGGTGTTGTGATCGAGAATTACCACAAAAAGAACCACTTGTTTGCCGTGTATTTCGCTGATTATGGATTTGATAAGACTTGTAACAAATCAGAGATGAGGGAACTGGTGCCTCATATGTACCCATCATTCGTGCCCTTCCAGGCCTTCAACTTCTATCTGACAGACATCGACCGCAAGAGAGGCGTAGACGACATGAAAGTGATAAATGAGATCCAGAAGCAGATGGAAAAAAATATGTTTGAAGTTTGGGCCGCTGTTGAGCACAAGGATAGGACCGGAAGTTACGGCAGTATAACAGTTGACGGCGACTGCGATTTGGCGGCCATTCTCATCGACAAAGGGCTGGTGAATGACATCCATCATTGTCACCGCAATCGCAGCCCCAGTATTGATAGCAATGGAAATTATACGACTCATAGGACGGGCTTTAGTTTTAGCCGCAAATGGCAGTCCAAGGGTCGGAAGAGTGAACAGGATTTGCTCTGCAAATGCAATGATATAATTAAGTATAGGCGCAAAGAATTGGAAGAAACTCTTAAACGAATCGAAACTCAAAATAAAGCCAAAAGTTTGGAGCAAAGACTCACTCAAAGTGTTTAAAGTAATTATTAGATATTATTTTAAAAGGTATCGTAAGAAAAGATATATTTTAGTTTTGAAAGTAATATAAAATTCGAAATATTTTAATTAAACAAAAATATACTTTTATATAACTGTGATTAACAATTTTTAACTAAAAGAATAAAGTTATTTGTTTCCAAATATCTAATCATTTAATTTGCTAAATGTCTTAATCAAGGAATGGGTGTTAAGTCGAGATCTTTTGGACCGCAGTTTAGGTTTCCGTTATCTTTGAAAGACTTAAGGAATTGAATGTAATCTTCGGGCAAATTCTGTTCAATGGCTCCCTTGAGGATCACTGTCTTGTAGGCCAGACTCGGAGTATTGGATGCGCTCCCGGAGTCAAACAGTTCACTGTAGGTCTCCTTCTGGACATAAGTGTGGCATTTGACTACCTCTTGTCCAACCAATACATTGATCTCAATCCTCCGGTAACCCACTTCCTGTATGTCCAGATCTGCCAACTCAGAGTCACTTATTGTCCAAACAGTTCCCCAAACAATACTCTTGAATATCAATCAAGTAATCACTTATAGAGTCAGTAATCTAATGTAAAATGAGGTAAAACTAAATCTATGTTTAAGATAATGAATACATCTTTTAGTGGCACAATATTAGCGGTGGATCCGAGCCATAGCCGCGATAAGCCGGAGAAAGTGAGGGTCCAGTCCTTCAGCAATCCGTTGCCATACTTGACGGCACTCTTGACGTTGATATGCATTCGCTTTGACCACAGATTAGATCCAAAACAGAAGTAAAACAATTGTTTGGCATTTGCGCTCATTTGTGGCTAAA